ATGAAGATTCTCTTGCAATCGAAATTCGGCAATAGTTCGCTGAATCCTAGAGGTGATCCACCACTTCCGGTTACTAAATGAGGACGTCTTTGATTTAAAACCCTGAAAGAAAAATAGTTAAATTTGAATTCGGTATAAGATTGAATACTGAAATTTATATTAACAACCTTATAACAAGCCATTCCTCCAGCGTTTAAAAACTAGTGGACCTCGGTATAGCTACTTTGGTGAAAACATCTCCAGAGTTGGTAAATTCTGAATTATTATTCCTTTGCTTATCTCGGCTGATTTGACTACGAACGTGCTGTGCTGAATAATCAATTGATGAATAATCCATTTCACAATTTCCATGTTCGTTCTCACGTTGGGCATTTGAAAACGATGACCGTTTTTTATTAACTGCATCAACTAAAGTAAGCAATATTAAACAAAATTTCGCTTATATAATAATTTAATTTTTATATCTCTCTTATATAACTAATATTATAATTATTTCTCTTGTATAGGATTATAATATAATTTACCTGGAGTGCAATATTCCCCTGACGGTCTTAATGGTGCAGGACGCTTTTTTCTTGGTGGTCGGACAGGTTTGCTGCTCGAAGCAATTGGTTCTTTGTCCAGTTTTCTGTTCTTTTTGCTCATACCATTCATTTTGAAAGACCTATTAAACTTTCGTTCGATTCCCGAAAATGATTTAGGGCTTCTATTAATAACATCTTCAGAACGACGAGATTTGTTCGTCATATGCGAAACAAGACTTCGGTATAAGGTTGCAGCGATCACTATTGAATCTTCAGACGTTCTGCATAAGAATCCATGACATTCCAGCCTAGAAAATTACACATATTGCAATAATGCAAAAGAGCAAGTACATCTAATTTTAAATATAACACACAATTTGTTCGAGTCGGTATTAGTTTTCATCACTACCACGAACATAGGTTCAGGTTTGGAACTAGATCTATTTCCGATGATAGGCCTGAAAAGTTTCCTTTTATTCAAATTATCAGGATCAGTTATTAAGGGAAGAAAAGCTGATGTGTTGTTAACAACGTCCATAACATATTTAACAGCTGACCATACAGTTATATTTGAAAACTGACTTATCTGCATCTGAAAATAATATAAATTTGAGTTTATTCTTAATGATGTTGAAACATTTTTTGAAACTCTAACTTACCTCTTTTGTTCCGATTTCACGTACCCTCAAACCGGCTGGACAAATATCTAAAATACATTTCTTTGCCTGATCTGCACCGGCGTATAGTTTATGAAGGGGTTCTTGTAATCCTTCCAAATTTGTGATTTTATTTGGCAAGGCCACAACTCCCAAAAATCGGACAGAAAATTCATTATTTCCATTGCCGTTTAGTTCTCGATTTTTATCTTCGGAACTTATCACTACATCACTGAACATCCGTTCAATTTTGGCTTGTACGCAATTGGAAATTCTAGGTTCCTCCTAAAAATATTAATTTATATAAATTTAAATTATAACTAGTTGGTATTGGTATTTTGCCTTGAGGCCAGTTACATAAACTTCCCTATATGTGTAAATAATCGACTTAATCAATAATAAACAAATTAATTTATAAGTGATTAAAAGTATTCCGAGTAGATTTATTACACATAATCGAAAACGAACGAACGTTCACAAATCAATAATTTTTATAATTGAACCAGTTTCCATAGGACTTTAATGGTTTAGTACGTTCATTGAGACCAATTACTCTATCGTTATATCAAGTAAATTGTCTAATTTTAATTTTAACAAACGTCAAAAAACCCATCCCATTTTCTCAAACTTTGATGAATTTTTAAAATTAAATTACTTGTCGTAAGGCCGCAATATTTCAGTAAGTTTTATAAGACCATGATATATATCGACAAAAAAAGTTCCATAAAAATCGGCTTCAATTTTTTTTTCAACAGTTAATTACTAGAAAACGGCTCGGTAGATTTTTACCTAAAACTAATCAGTATCATTCCCAACTAATATCTTTCGAACAGTTTTTGATTTTTTAAAATCGGTTCGGTAGTATGAGGTTAAATGTGGACGAAAAGTTTAACACTTTTTTTCAAATTACAAAGAAACGGCAGATCGTCTCACAAAACTGACAAACGATAGTCCTCATTGAGATACATCAAATGGCTTTTAAATTTCTGAAATTGATTCAGGCGTTTTTGAGAAAACGTCGATCAAAGGTCTAATTTTGACAAATGCCAAAAAAACTATACTAATTTTTGCAAACTTTGAAAAATTTTCAAAATTAAACGGTTTGTCGTAGGGCCGTAATATTTTAGTATGATCTACAAGACTATGGTATCTATCGTCAAAAAAAACATAAAAATTGTCGATTTTTTTTTTTAACTTTATTTTTTTTAAACTTTATTACAAGAAAATGGCCCGGCCGATCTTTACGAAAAACTAATCAGCACGATTACCAACCAATATCTATCGAATGGTTTTTGAATTTTCAAAATCGATTCAGAATTGCGGTTTGAAACGTGGACGAAATTTTTTTCACTTTTCTGCAATTTACAAAGAAACGGCCCGGCCGATCGTCGCACAAAACGCTAGTCCTCATCGAGATATATCGATTGGTTTTTTAATTTTTAAAATCGGTCCATCCGTTTTGGAGAAAACGTCGATTTACGGCAAAAATCTGTTCACACACACACACATACACGCACACATACTTTTTCCAAATTTGGTCTCATTCGATTCAGAATAGCTTGAAACGTCGAGAAAACATAAAATTAGCGAGTCGGATTTTTTATGAAAACATAAACTCCTTCAGGAAGTTAATTAATATTATAAGTTTTTAAATATTTAAGGGTGCAAACGTGCAAGTTATCTGTGATCGTATGCAGCTAAGTTCCGTCGTGTTATGAATCGAATGAAGTTTGTCACTTCCGCGTCAGTGTGTTATTCGCTGTACTAAATGGTGAAATTTTGTGTCAAAATAATTGTTTGAAATATTAAACTGTATCAAACATAAACAAATATGATCATTGCAATTAAAATAAAAGTGTGTAATTCATTTGTGTTTTAAATGTGTAAGTAGTTAAGCATAGTAAATCTGAAAACTATTTGTTCATTACATGTCAAAGCGTCAGTGTATCGGGTTGTCATAAAATTTTTCACAAAATGGTTGTAATTTCATGCTTACTTCTTCCTCTAAAGGATTGTTTAATAAATGTCGACCCATCCCGGATCTTGAATCATCAAACATAGAATCTATTTTTTGTTTGCAAGATTGTTTTGAATGTACAGAAACGGTTTCGCAAACATCTCCCAGTAATAACTTGAAACCTGATGCTGAACTAGATCTCCTGGAGCCCTCTGGCCTGATGTCCTCCGGCTTATTCGGGATCATGTTGTAAATTGGAACTCAGATACTGTAAATAATAAATAGCAATTAAAAATAAATTGTTATTTATCTTTGGCATACTACTCTAAATATATATGCCTAATAAAAGTTTGCAGTCAAATAGAAGGTAAGAATGTTTAATAATTTATCCCGAGTTTAGTTATTGCAGTAGCCACACCAAGTTAGAGATCTGATACAGATTATTAATTCAAAAAACTTTCCTGATAGAAAGATTCATAAACCATCTAATTATACAAAATCTGTAATAGACGTTATTTAGAAAAGTAAAAGTATAGATTTAGTATCAAGAAACAAGTTCTTGTAAGACGCACATCTGACAAATATAATCGTAAAAACCTGTCAATGAATTTAAATAATGTCATCTAACAACCATAACATCTTTATTGCACTGGCTATTAATTCAGATTCGGAAAAAAATTAAACAAATCATTCATAGTCTCGACATTAAGATATTCTATTATGTTATTTATGACTTAAAATATCGGTAGCAATACTGGTACGCGTAAGTAAAAGTTCAACTTTCGAATGAAATTATTTATTAAATTTAATGAAATTGTATACGCATATAATTATATTGGGATAAATTATATTTATACTTCTATGTATTTAATATATTTAAATCAAAATTTTTAAGGACAAATTATTTTAGGATATGTTTGCTTCATGGCGTAACGGACTAACGCGTGGCCTAGTTTGAATCAGGACTTCGCTTTGGCAACCTGACATCGGACAGCAGCGATGTTCATTTTCACTTGAAATATGTTTCCAATTGAAAATAATCTCATTTCGGACACTGCGGTGTGAAATGGCAATGGAAAATCTCTCACACTATTCTTCTCTGAATCGAGTTGGAGTTTAACTCAGCTCACTGACTTAGGGTAGTACACTCATTATATTTTAGAATGTTCGTGTTATCATGTTTCATAAGACATGAACGAGAGTTATCTTACAAAATTCTAACCAAATTATCAAAATTTCCTACGATACCCTACGAATAGTTATTGAGTTTTTAAAATGTACACTTCAAATTTTGCACTTATCTATCAATTATAAAGAAACGGCTCTGCCGATTAAATGGTATTTAAATTTTTGAAATCGTAGCGGTCTTTTCTGCAAATACGTCGAAAGGTCAAAAGGTCAAATATTGGTCAAATACATATACAAACCCATACACACTGATACTTTTTTTATATTTTTATTGTCAAACGATTCGGTATAAATTGAATTTTTGGACAAAAACATAAGCTTCCCCTTCGGAAAGTTTTACATATTAAGAATATTACTGCAATTTTTTTTTTATTTATTATTGTATTAAACGATTTTTTTTTTCTGGATCGAGTATTAATTTAAGATTTTATATTATTAAAGCAAAAACTCCAGCATCTATTAAAAATAAAAGTATAAATAATTAGACTATAATTTTTTATTACCTTAATTTTTACTATATGACAAAAAACAAAAAAAACTTAATAATATAAGTAAAAGTGAAAATTACTAACAAAAGCAAATACAAAACTTGTCATACTTTCTCGAAGCAAATTCTTTCTGATCATAAACTATAAATCACCAGATTAAAATTAATTAGTTATAAAAATCTTTAGATATTAAAACTATAATATGCATTATAACATTTGCAAATTACTATTATATAAAAATTTATATATTAATAAATTGCAAAAATATATCATTATTGCTTGATATACTGCTTGATAAATAAAATAATTGGAGTTTTTAAGTTAATTACAGTAATGATTAAAAAATATAGATTTAGTTACAAATACATTTTCATTAGTAAATTCAAATCCAAATTTGAGAGAGGGTTTAACAATTATTATTTTTAATAATTATTATTCATAGTATTAATAGTTAGTATTCTATTAGTTTTTTTTTTTAACTTTTTACGAATATTTTTGCAATTTTTAAAAATTACTAATGTTATGAGAAAAAAGTATGTTTATAAATATTAAAATGTACATTTCAATGTTTTATATAATTTTATTTATATTAGTTTTATATTATTACGAATATTTTTGCAGTTTTCAAAATTTACTAATATTAATGATGAGAAGAAAATATGTTCATAGAAGTTAAAATTTGCATTACAAAACATATAAAACTTAGTTTAATGTAGTGATTAATATTAATATACATTTTATTTATATAAAATATTTTTGTAGATATATGTTTGGTGTGTGGATTGATCAGATGCTGTTAAACCCAAAGATGAAGGAAATAGATTTTTGTTAGATGAAATTACTAAATGGATTATTTAATGCTTTCATTAATGACTCATTTATTTTTGATAACCAAGTATCCGCTATGCATTTCCACATCCAAAAAAATACCAAGAGCAAGAAAGTTGAGGATCATTATATATTTCTCTACTTATACACCTGTTATATTTCCGCCATTCGTTATGTTATAGTTAAAAATTTAACAATTGTAACATTAGTTACGTGATTAAGACGAATGACAAGACAAGATTATTATATCAATCATTATGCAGGTAAATTACTGATGGATTAGAGAAAGTTATTGATTTTTGCACCTGCTGGATATTGAGGAATATAAGTAAGTCATGCAGAAAGGAAAATCGTATGAAAATCCTGATGCTGCAACTATTAATAACATTCATAACTATTGTACAGTTTAACAAGCGATATTTTATATATTCTAATAATATAAATTATATATCTTGTTAACACTAACAAGCAAATGAAATAATTGTTTAAAGTTAGTTACATTAATGTGAGAATTAAAAATTCTATTTTGACATCAAATAAAATAATTTATATGTAAATTCAATAAAATTTTACAAGTAAATTTTGAAATGGAATTATAGTAATTACTTTTGTAATTTTATGATAATGCATTCGATAGCACTTTGAGAGCAGATTAATTATTCTATATAATTTTATGATATATAATTCCAAGAAATGTTATTAAAATTGATCTAGAAAGGATTCAATTAACTATGAAAATGCAATTGTAACTAAAACAATATTTTTGAATTATTAATTACTAATTCAAAGTTAATTCTTAATTTATAATTCAAAAATATTGTTTTAGTTACAAATGCATTTTCATAGTTAATTGAATCCTTTCTAGATCAATTTTAATATCATTTCTTGGAATTATATATCATAAAATTATATAGAATAATTAATCTGCTTTCAAAGTGCTATCGAATGCATTATCATAAAATTACAAAAGTAATCATTATAATTCAATTTTAAAATTTACTTGTAAAATTTTATTAAATTTACATAAAAATTATTTTATTTGATGTTAAAAATAGAATTTAATTCTTAGGTTATAGTAGAGAACAATCATTGCCTCGTTATTCATTATACTTAAAATTTAGTTCACATTACATATTTTTCAAAAAATTTAACTAATTCAGTTATAGTATATGTATAACTTTTAGATCAGATGAACTAATTTTAAAAAATCACAACCCACTGAAGACATCAATTACAATTATCATACATGTAGGAGGAATTTTTAAAAACTTTTAATAAGAAATGCAACAAATCACGACATAGTAATATAAGTGAATGGTAAGTTCTAAAGATTCAATATCTATTATATGATTATTTATTAATGGTGTGCACATTTTTTAGATTTTAATCATAAATTATTTATTAATAAATTCTTCTTGTTTAATAATGTATGCAACATCAATATCATCTTTCTTACTTGCATAATATCCTGATAAGACGAGTACTATTACTTTTAGTTAAATAACACTTCTTGAAGAACAAGTTAAAAGATAAAATAATTATATAATTACTGAAAAATAATACAAGAAGTTGTGAGAGTGCGAAAACTAATTACCTATGGAAAGGGCAACATGGTAGTAAAATTATTTTGTCAAAGAAAATTGTATTTATGATGTAGATAACTTATTGAATAATTAGCAACAGAATTTTTCATTTATGTTAATTGATAGCAAAATCCTTCAAATCTTATATTTATTTGAATTGAGTATAAATGAAAGTCTTAATTATTTATTTACATTTATTTTTTAAATTCTTTTATTGATATTCAAAATTATTTTAATTATAATCAATGTTTTTATTTAAATTCTATCTATAGGTACAAATTTAAATAATGCTGACTGGTGAAGAGCATAAAAAAATGGATTAATTAGTTTACAGCAGCAGAAAAAATATACAAAATAAAGTAATAATGCAACATGATAAAATGCAATAAAATGTGCAGAAGACTAATTAGGAATATTAGTATACAATTACAGTGAGCATTTATTTATAGTACTTAATTTAATAATTATATTTATAGTAATTATTTGTATATTTTTACCACTTTATTAAATTTATTATGCAAAGTTGTATAATACTCCTTTTAATAATACGAACTTTAAATCTTTCTTAATCACAAAAAAACTAGTGGGGTGCATGGCATCATGCCTTAAGGCAAATTGCTAGGACTTCCCGTACCGTAATTAAAAACCTTGGTACGAAACCCAAAAAAAATTTACACAAAATGTGTACACATTATTAAAATCTCTATAAAATATCTGTTAATTTGATGTTCATATGTCCAATAAACATTTTTGACCGCTAAATGAAATGTTTTTAACTTATTTTTATTGAGAGTTCATAACCGCTGGACCTGCTTTCCCAAAAATTTTAACAGTTCTTCATCTTATCAATACAAGTAAAATGTTTTTTGAACTATTAAAATCGGACGCTATGTTCTCTTAAAAACTGAGTTACCGTTTTTAGCTCATTTTGCTTCGTATCTTCGAAACAGCTAGACCTGCCTTTGCCAAAAACTAATCAGCATGTCTCCTTATCAATACGAATCGAATGTTTTTAAAATATTCAAATCGGTTGATCGGCGTTCCCGAAATTGTCTACAAAAATTTGTATCCGCATTCATTTTTTCTAAGGTATGCCAAAATATCTGAATATTTTCTTTTATTATTTTTTTTAACCTTTGAAAAGTAAAGATATATGACA